GGTGAATTACCTAGCATCATTCGCAAGCTCCCAGCCGAACACAGCAGGGCTGTCGAAATAGCGTAATACGATCTGCTTAGTGTAATTCTGGAAGGCAGCCAAGGTATCATCGCTCGTGTAGAAATCGTCGTGGTTCTGAAGTCCGAACTGGCGGACATATAGATCCATACTGCCTGTAAAAACGTTGATATGTCCGATGTCTGATTGAACACCAAGTGCAGTGTTGGCTTACCATAGTCGTTTGAAAGAGTGTTACGCGGAATAGCGACAGACGCAAGCACGTCAGGTGATGCAGTGCCGGAAGATGTTGTGTTAGGTACTGGATTCCAGTTATTCGTTAGTGACATGATAACATATAGCCCTTGTTGTTCTGCCATTTGAACCACTGTGTATCAAGTTTCTGCAGTCCATTTGTTCCATCGTTGATGGTAGTAGTGCCGTTCTGTACAAACTGAAACCACGTTCCGCTCTCGGGAATGATTTCCACGTCCTGTCAATCAAAACACTAAAGTCGCTAACCTCGGTAGACAGACGATGAACGAACCGTAACGAACCGTTAAATGCCCAAATCCTGACGGCCGTGATACCGGTATCAGATACGTTCTTCAGCACGTTCCAGATGTCATCGTTCGATTCCAACGTCGACAGCCGTACAAGTTGGTCCCGACCAATCTGAGTGAGCTATGGTGCGATGAGTTTGCACACCATAAGCTGATAAAAGGAATCACTCTTGCCTTCCGTTGACAGAAAATCCATCTTTACTAGAGCTCACGAATGAGCTGTTACCTCTCTTGGAGATCGCCCTTGGGCGAATGCGAATTGCAGGGGCCAGACATGACCGGATAGAAGCTAAAAGCCAAAAATGTGAAAAGACGTGCATGCCAACACTGCTACAAGATGGGTCGCGCATGGGGTACGGCATGTGTGTTACAAGTGCACAAATGAAGAGTCTGTTCGCTTCCGCTTAGGCGTCAATCAGATTCTTTCAGCACGACACATGGCAAATCCTTCAGCGGAAGGAAGGCTAGTAGTAGGAGCATTGCTGTGTTTCATGTGAGACTGCAAGTGTTTGGCGCTGCGCGCCGTAAGGTTTAGGTACAAGTCCCGTTTAGGACAGGTTTACTATTTAGCGACGCTTTAGCGTCACGGCGTGAGTTTGGCTCGCTTACGACTTGCAAACGACAACGACATTTTAGAATTGAGCATCCCTCACAGGTGCTGTTGCGCACTTACTAGACGGCCTGAATATGCCACCAAAACCGCGAGGACAAGGAAAAAAAAAGGCTGGGAAGGAGGCGAGTGATTGCGTGCCGGTGATAGCATGGAGACTCGAGCGCTCATCAACTAATGTAGGGACAGGTTAAAGACGCCCTATTGCTGGGCAACACCAGAGACTCTGCGGGTCCCTCGTTAGATGATAGTATCGACGAGGTTACAAAGCGTAACAAGATTGCGGATAAAGCCATCATCGGATCCGCTCGTTTCGACCTAATCGAATATTATAACCACCTTGAGTTTGGTAAATGGAACAATCGACCTTTGGTTGATTCACAAGTGCAGTCCCTATATCAGTCGTTTCTTGCAAATGGGGCTGACCGCTTCAATCCCGTCCATGCGATTCCTCTTGTTGTTCACAAGGAATGGCTTGTGGAAGGGAGCTATGAAAAAGATCTTGATAAGTGCGGGGAGCTCTCCGAGCTCCCGATCTTGAAAATATCTGGGAACGCACCAAAAGAATGGAAGTTCAAGGCAGCAGGGGGACATCATCGGACAAAAGCTATTGAAGCTTGGATGAACAAGATGAGGACCGAATATGAGATGGTGTTGGCAGAAGAGACACGCGTTGCCGACCTACCTGCGGGTGAGATCGACCAGGATCAGATCGACTACATCGACAAGGTTGTGAAACCGCGTCGGCAGAAACTCGAGGGTGTTCTTGCGTATGGCGGTCAATGGATCGTCACTATTTTCGATCAAGGTCAGTTCGCGCTGAAATATACACTTTGGTGAGGGAGAATCAAGATGAGTCTGACGGAGGGAGCAACAGGTCAGGTCAGCGAAATTATTGGTCTTCATATATCGCGGAACGAAACGAAGCATGTGTATATGCAATCGCCAGAAGAGGGCCTCATCCAGAAGTACAAGATGTTGTGTGCAAAAAACAAAAACTGGTCCAATATCGAACATACCGCGGCTGGGGGCGTCTTTTGCAAAGCAGAATGAACTTCTCTCTCAGGACTACGTGTTCAACCATCTGGAGACGATCGTATCGTCAGGCACTCACTACATCCATACGCCCGAGATGCAGTTTACTCGATTTTATGATACAATGTTCTCGAGTTATGGAGGGGTGCGTAGCGCATTCACTATCGACATGAGATCCTTCGCCATTTTGACTGACGCCTGTCTGTCAACAGATTGTTGCTGATGTCACGATGCGACTGGAAAACCGCCTTCGCTGGTGCTTCAATACGATCCCGTACAACTCCGATAAGGGCGAGAATGGCGACACCGAGATGTATCAACAGCTTAAGCGGGCACATCCAGTACTGGATGCGATTTTCTGGCCCACTCCGGGAGGCTCTGAATGACGCCTATGAGAAACACCTTGGGGGCAACACTCCCGCATCCTACCGATTCGGCAACACAGATGAAGATGTGTGGTCAAAAGCCTATATGCTGTACAAGTTCGATGTCATCTCCGCCATGAAAGACTATGTCCAAGACAAGCGGGCGACGAAGGACCTGCCTGGCGATGTTCGGACAGCACTGGAAGGCTGTGCAGCTAAGGCAGCCCTTGTGCTTGGCCGAAGTGATGATGTACACGACTTCGGCCATTTTCCGCTGATGTCTCGCTCTGTCGTTACCACCCTCATCCGGAATTTACGCATGATTGAGAGGTCTATTTCCGAGGTGCGTATATCCTGTGGGTGGATATTTCAGTGCGGTCTGAAGGAGTTGCTCAGGTTTCTGCTTGGTTCTCACCATTTCTATATATGGCAAAGGCCCACGGGAAAGACTGGAACCCTGGGTCGGCCTCTGCTGAAATGATTCGGGCGATCATGGCCCATCCTGACTATGATCCTGAACAGCGCGGGGGCGCTGTTGCTGAGGTATGTTTAATGATGTTTCTAGTATTACCTGATGGTTTGTGCATTTATACAGATTGTATCCTCGATATTTGAGATGTTCCCTGAGTTCCTCAATATGGAAGGGCAGATAGCAAACATCAACATGCCCCGTCGAGTCACACAGCAGCGAGAGCTGCAGTCGGCATTTGGGATTGCGGATGGTGGAAAGAGTTCTAGAAGAAGTGGTACTAATGCGGCAAAGGGCAAGAAGAAAGGGAAGAAAGGCAGCGATGAAGATGATGATAAGGATGACAGTGACCCGTCATCGAGTGATAAAGAGACTGACGACGATCAGGAGCATGACAATGATGAGGATGGTGAAGAGGCTGAGGAAGGGACCGACTTGCGCACCTCGCGGTTACTCCGGAAGGAGCGCCTTCAAAAGGATGCGGCACGCATAGATAGCCTTCGTGTGGAGGTGCTCGACGCACAAAAGCTTTTCAATGGTGCAACGAAGCTGACATCCGTAAAGCGCAATAACTTGTACGAACCATGGTCTCGACAGTCAAGCATCTCGACGGGTGTTGGCGACAACGTATTCAGGGGACAGAACTTAGTCCCTTTCCACACATATGAGTGGTCTGCTGCAACAGGTGGAACACGAGCACGCCGCTTGCGTATTCTTGCCTGCATTGCAATCATGGAGCAGACAATTATCAATGCGTACCGGATTGGCTTGTTGGATGACAGTAGCGGAGGTGCAGCTGCCATTCGTCTCGCGATCGAGGACAACACCGAAAATTATCGAGTTGCCCGTCCGATCTCGAGGAAGAAGCAGAAGCAGAAAGGCGGGGGACTTGAAGGCATCGAAAAAGTCGCGCAGCTAGCGCCAGAGCACGTGAACCTGACGTGGCCTGACCAAATTGATGTTGCAGCAGTATCGCAGGTTGACTTTAAATTAGAGGTCGAGCTTGGGTCACAAAAGCGCGATTTTCTACTGGTCCATCAGACTCGTCAAGCACAAAACATCATCGATCTCGTACAGCGCAGCCGCATTGCCTGGGAGGATATTACAGGCGTCGCAGAGGCACGCGAACGCCCCCCCCCTTCGTCCTGAAGTTCAGGGAGCGCTAGAGGCGCTCATCAAGGTAAGTATATTCGCATAAAGTGACATTCTCTCACGATCCGCGCACCGCTACTCGCAGGAGCTGAGTATTAATGCCCACCATCAGCGCCAGTCTTTGAAGGGCAAGAAGGTCCCTTTTAATGGCAGCATCTCACCAAGCGACCATCTCCATGTCCTATACAGAGCAGTAGAGAACGAGACAACCGTCTCCCGCATTATGAAAAACAAGAAGTTTTTGGTGCCGTCGCAAGGGGACGAGCTCGCGCTGCTGGAGGCTGAGGCAAGAACCCGCCAGAGACATCGAGAGCGTGCTAGGGAGCATGATAAGAAGGAAGAACTGTTGGATGCGAGGAAAGGTCCAGGTAAGCGAGTCGTTCAAATTGCTATATAATTGCTTACATGTGATGTCAGATAGCAATAGTGCCGGGAGCGCGCCTGTCCAGTCTGACATAGAGAATCAAGCAGGTACTCAGGCACATTGTTTGCCGGCTCCAATGCAATGTCCAGCAGCAATGACAACTGCTGTGGGTCTCTGCGTCCATCCAGCGCACCCCCACCCCCCCCTTACCCATCCGTCCGTCCAACATGATGCTTGTATGGATGCAGTGGGTATGGGCCCCACCTTGGACGTTGACCCCACCTTGGACGTTGACCCCACCTTGGACGTTGACCCCACTTTGGACGCCGACCCCACTTTGGATGTCGGCCTCACTCCGGATAGCGACCCCACTCCTAGTTCTCCTATCATCAATGTCAACCCCGCCCCACCGCACCCCACTCAAGCATCTACCACACATGTCCCTGCGAGGAGTGACAGTGCCATTGGCGAAAGTGAGGACAACTGTGAGTATACTACTTTTGTCATATATTTGCGGGGCCAGTACATTATTGGTGCGCAATTGCGAATTTGCAAGAGGTGCGCGACAAGAGGGTCAGACTGAGATGTGACCAGTTCAATTTTCTATCTACCTCCTCAAATTGCCATTGACGCTTCTTCATACAGCGTTGACTATTGAAGGCGGTGACATAGGATCGGCTGCTAAGTCAGGTGAGTCATGGATCGATACAAGATATCTGGCACATCGCTTCCAATCATGCAGATGATGAAGTGGGGAGTAACCTCGCGTCCAATTGTGCCTTTCACAAGGAGCAAGGCAAACCAACTCCGCGGCCTCGTCCTATTTACCGCGGAGGAGAGGTTGCTGGCAGAAGGACTGAAGGTCATCGATTAACTAAGGACGTGGCTCCCACCTTAAAGAAGCGCCAAGCCTCCCACTCAGTATCCTCAACTGACTCTTATGGTGGACGTAAGTATCATCTCTCTCTGAAACACCGATACAAGCGCTTACACCTCCTATAGATGCTGCTAATGGGAAACCTGACAGAAAGCGCAGGCAGCTTGGCGAAGGGAATGCCGGTTTACCTGGCAATACACGCTCCCAGTTTCAAGAGGATGATGACACAATATTCTCCCAATTGGCGTAATACCTTGCGAAGTCCTATATATACATCAACGAAGCTCTTAGGGCACAGAGGCCGAGTGGAAAACGATAGCTTGGACTTTGACAGCCGATTATATCTACTCAAATGCGGTGTTCTCCAACTTTCGTTGAACCTTTGTCGAACCAAAACTCCCATTTCTGCATCCTACATTGTATGATCTAGGTGCGCTCGTAGGGCGCAGTGATGGCTGCTGTGATGCCGCCGCGATAGGCTAGTCTGCAATCCAAGAGGTCGATTTGGAAATGCAGACAGACGTAAAGAATGAAAAGGATACATGCATTTCAATATGCTGGTTCGGCCATTCAGCGCTAAGAAGGACGATTCCTTGCCACAATGTCCAGTCCCATGATATAACTCATTTCGGCAAGGCATGTGCCAAGTACTAAGCCCTTACTCTACACGTTCACCTTCAGGCTCGGCGCTTTGAACGGGGGTAGTGAATCTTGCGCAGATAAAACTTTTCAGGGTGGAATTTGAGGGGACTTTGGGACCAACCAGGTGCAGCGGCAGTGGGGTTAGGGTTAGGATACTACGTGCACAAATTAGGCTCTGCGCAGAGGCACTGTCTGTGCAACTAAGAGGCGGCTATAGCCACGACGAAGATCATGAATCATGGGCCGTCCTCAAGGCTCGACTCAGCCTGACCCAGGACTTGAACGAAGGGTTGAAGTTTCTGCAAGGGCATCGTCAGTGTAGATGGAGGAATGAGCGATGGATGCACTGGTACCGGAAGGCTCCCCTCAATACTTCGTCTAGGTAAATTCCGATCTGAGCGGCGAGGTTCATGAGCGCCCAACAGCGGTTGGTCACAATGCGTGGACGATCCGAAAGACCGTGTACGAGCGCCGAAATCAGAGGGTGAAGGATGCACGTCGAGCTTGATCGTTACAATTAGAAGATCGCAGATTCGTCCGAGCGTCGAAGCACCTGGTTGATGAGAGAGGTGACGAGCACCGAAGTAAGTGGCATGTATATGCGCCAGATCATAGGTGCTGGCGCGCTGACATACAGCACAGCCAGCACCTCCCAGGCGCATAAGTCAAATCAACCTAGAATAAAACATAGTTGAGCCTTCCCAGGCGCCCTTGGTGCTCAGGGACCGAGCCGCGCAAGTTAACAGCGGACGTTCACGGATCAGCGCCTGAGCAACTGAAAGTGTCCGCATAATGCGGAGCCGTGCGTGGTGCGTGTGTCGGTAGCTGGTATGAGCGGACGCCAATGGTACTAACTAAAGAAACAAAAAGGCAAAGTTCAAAATTCTGTATGCGAACGTGATCACATGACTATGTTTATTATGTAATAATGCAAGCAGTGCCACATCGATAACATTCATCCTTGTCAAATACAGTAATTCGACCATTTTTTTTATAAACGATAACGCGTGAATGCCCCTATTGTAACTAAGTAACTATACCCTCCTTACTTTCAAATACTCTCCAAGTCTTTCAGAATCTGAAAGCGCAAGCTCCCCTTCAAGTGGATCCGAGGACCGTCCATGCCCTCCAGCCCGGAAGACAAGCAAGCGCTCAACCAAGAGAAAGCAACATTCATCAAAATCAGATAACGAGAAATCAAAGTAAGTCGTCCAGTACTATCTATCCCTTGGCTGTGCTTCTCACTGTCCGTAGGTCAAATAAGAAGGAATCCAGCGCTGACTCATCCACGCGAGGAATTATATATTGCAGCTGCACGCTGCATCACCCGATGTATCGACATGTTCTGCAAGATTAATAAGGTGATCGACATCGGTACACTACTAAAACGGCATGAACTTGCAGATGCTGGACAACTATCCGAGGATGAGGATGACATAGCCCATCGAGAGAATCAGCTAGCGGAACTGTTTGGCTACGGAGTATCCTACTGACAAGTATAGACTGATCTTTTCCTTATAGCTCTCAGAAAACACGGGATAGATTCCAGCGGAACTACAAGCGCTTGCTTGAACTCGCACTTGGATTGAAAGCTCGCTCGGATGATTCGACGCGTCTGAAGATCCAGATTGGTAAATATGTTGCTCTGGATCCAGCGAAAAAGCTTCACCCTCGAACGGGTGGGTCTCATCATCACTCGCCCCATCAGTATTTCTAGATAATGCGGCACATATTCACAGGGCCTTCTACTGCTTTAGGCAGCCAATCACGCGGGGCACGACCCTGCAACGCTGTGTTGCACGACATGACCACCGTTGAAGCTGCACATATAGCGTACGGCCGTGTACAGGTTAGTTTCCATTACCATCGCCTGTAACTCATGCTGAGCCCTCATAGGTTCGGTTTGGACTTGGTGCGCAAAATATCTAGACGGAGGAAGATGGTGACTTCAAGTATCGCGATTTCTACCGTAACATTGTCGAGCTTATAGAAGACTTGCTTGACGATGATAGGGAACAAATATTCAAAGAGTGGAATATGTAAGGCGTGATTTTCATTTTTTTCATTGTGCCAACATTACATTAACAGGAAACTGTTCAACAATGACGACGGGCGTGATGTGGCAAGAGACGATGCTGAAGACTCTGCACTCTCCAGTACTCGCGAGGGTGGCAGTGACTTGGCTCGCCTGCGCGCACAAATGGCAGCCCGCAACGCTGCAGCCAAGACCGACACTACAGACTTGGAACGTCCAGCTGCACCTCCTACAGTAGCTCATCCACCATCTGCTCCAAGGACACCTCCGCCATCTTCGCCAGCTTGCATCTTATCAACCCCACGTCCAGTTCCACGTCCTGCAAAGACACCAGTACGTTCATTGGCTGCTCTATAGGACTCGCCAGCACCTCTTCCACGGACACCATTGGCATCTTCATCAGCGCGCAACATTCCACTACCTTCACGGCCAGCATCTTCACCAGCCAAGACTGTGTCGCGAGTACCAGCCAAAACCGTGTCGGACTCGCAAGCCAATGGCGGTGCATCTGGCAGCGAGCTAACAGAATCTGGTGAGGAAGAACCCCAACCAAAGCGGAAGGCATCAGCCAAACGCTAGGGGAAATCCAAGGCAGTTGAGACTTCGGACGATGAGCCGCCGCTACTCAAAACTTGGAGCCATCCCACTCTCCTGTCTCCCATCAAAGACACCATTGTGGTCTTCCAGCCAAACGTATGTCCCTTTCAATACATTCGAATAAGACAGTCTTGTCTTGACCGACTTTGCCAGTGCTCCTTCCTCGCTGCCGCATCTGTTCCAAATCGACGCTTACAACCCATACTCGTGTCTAGGAATTTATTTATAACGTGGATATTTTGCATGCTGGACGGTGAGCTACTCTCTTGGACCTTTCTCCTTCAAGTTTTCAGCGTTCATTTCCTTCATTCCTGTAGGGAGCAGGACGACAACAATGACAACCCGGTAGTCGATGATAATGTCGATGAGGACGAGCAACCCAATAACATGCCTTTCAATGTATCCGAATTTCCTCGGCAGCTGGCAGCTTACCCAGCACTGAATGCGCCCAGTACTGCCCTGACTCAGCGTCATGCATTGATGATCGTTATGTTCATCGCCCATGCATTTACTGAGATGCTCCTCCAAGACATCCACTGCCGAGAGCGCTATCCGGTCCCTCTCACTCGTGCCGCTGTCAAGGAATCGACAGATATTCTGTAAGTTTTGTTTTACGCTTGCATCGATCTCATCCTTATGTAGCCGGGTTATTTGTAAGGGGGAGGGTCGATGAAAATCACCGGCGTATCATTCTGCGACTGGAAGACTTCAAGCGACTCAGTCATATCTTGAACACCGGCTGGGACGACTGGGTAGCGCAGGCGCCTCCATCGTGGAAGGAGGATAATTTTCTGACCAACAATGCGCCCGTGGGTGTCACTATCCGATATGGACAGAACCAGCCCCTCCTTGTCCATGGAGCCCTCGATGATGAGCGCAGAAATTGGGACAATGATCGCAATTACACTCATATTCGGCAGTTTACCTTCTCTTTGGCGACTCATATAAGGTATGTGCGCATTCCTCTGCTTCTTTGGCGCGATATTAACTGGTTTCTGATAGCTATCTCGATGTCAGGGAATGGCGCGAAGTTCCAAATTTTCAAAATGGAGGTGGTATCATCTACGATAAATCCAACGACGATCCCATGCGGACTGAGGTTAATCTGGAGGACCTTCCTTTACTTGACGGGGATGGGTACGAGATCAATGTTTATAACGAGCAGGGATTCAGGGTCCCTCGGCGCGCTCCAGTGCAATTCTCTATCTGCGGGGCACTACTTAACCTTCATTCCGTTCATGAACTCTTCCGCTCTGACGATGATAATACTCGCAATAAGGCTCACTTTGACGTATATCCCCTTGCAGGAAGAACGAGACAAAACATACCATATCGACATTCCCGAGCGATTTGTGAAGTAGATCTTCCTCCAGAGTCCTGATGAGTTGGAATGCTTGTCGTCCCCGTGGCTCAGACGGACGCCATAGAACTCCCTACGTGGAGGATCTGGTTCCAATCGTGCATGCTGCAAACCTGGAACACAAATTCTGTTGAGGCGTAGCGTTACCATGATGGAGGCAAATTACGTCGAGGAGATGAAGTTGGCAAGGCGGAAGGTGAACTCGAAGGTCACGGCGTAGTACCACTGACTGATCATGAGCTGAAAATTCCTCTTCTTCGCGACCAGTCGATTGTCGGGATTGTCAACATCACTGAAATTCACTTAGCACGATATGACAATACTGTAGAGGACGTCCGGAGGGTGGGAAGGTTGGTCGCGGTCGTGTGAGCCGCATCTGCAAAACCACTGAAATGAAGGCTTCTCTCGCCTACGCTAAGCGTGTTACGAACACTTACGTTCGCAGCGATGGAGGGATGTGATTGGTTGGTCAGTCCGATTATCACGTTAGCACTCAGGCGAGATTTATCAGCGAGTTGGTCATCTTATCGATCCAAAAAGCATCTAATCGAGGACCAAGATCATTGCGCCTACAGTACTGTGTTTACAAATGACATTGCTATTGGAAAGAACAGTGGCATAAGATTAATCCTAAAGAGTATACTCAGTGTCCAATGATTCATGCAACGCGTTATACATCTCCTTGTCCGCATAACGGTTAAGATAAAAGTGGTCATAGTGCTCCCGAGATGTCGCTGAAGTCAAGGAATGGTCAACCTCTTCTCCGTACACTGGGACCAACTCTGCAGCATGTGTTACCTCTGTTATGGGAATGACAAACCCGGTGTGGGTTTTGGGCTGCGTTGCAGGTGCATATACCCTCTCAAGTTTCCACAACCGAGTGTCCTCTAGATCTTCGGGGGTTTTTACAATACGAAAAGGTTGGACATAGAGAAGGGGAGTGCAACAGGAAGTCAGGAAGCTTCGCAGTTGAGCGCCGGGGTGGGGCCAGCTGGAATACAATGCGAACTTGAGCAACGGGAACTAGACAGTAGATGTCATCAGTATATGGCACGATAGGTAGTATAAACCAACTTACAACCAGGGTTATTTGCGCCTTGATCCGTTGTAGAGACTCGCGTTTCTGCAGGCACATATGGGCACATTTCGCACCTTTTCACAACTCATGACAATTGGCCTTCAATGCACAACTTGCACCATCAGCTATATTCGACTTCTATCATGTCTCTAGTTGTTTTACACATAACGCGCAGCTTTCCCGCGAAACGCGCCATAGGCGCGCTACTTTCCCACACAACGCGCAGCATTCCCGCGCGCGCTCAGCGCGTTTCTCTCGCACTTGTTGCCCTACTCCATACGCAACTTCTGCTATGTCTCCAGTCATTTGCGCATACAATGCACAGCTCTCCTGCAAAGCGCACCATAGGCGCAACACTTTCTCACGCTTTCGCATTTCGCGTTCCCGTGCGCGCGCTTAGCGCGTTTCTTGCGCTTAAGCGCACTCCATCGTGCATCATCCAGGAGCATCCATCCATCGTCCAACCAGTTCCTAGGTGTGTCCCTTTTCATTATCAGACCATATTTAGCCTATTACGCTTTGTATTTCGTTATGCACCCTTACTTTACATCACTTTACCTCACTTGCATACTTAGAGCGCTCCCTATTCGGCTCCGAGCCCTGGGAGAGCGCTTAGGTAGAACTTACATACTTTCATGTTCGTTTTGACACCACAGCTTCCTACCACAGCTTCCTACCACAGCTACCTACCACATCTTTCTACCACCATGTACTTGGCAGTTAGTTCCATGCAATGCATGCGTCCGTCATCGTCTTAAGGCCCTAGCATCAGTCTAAAGCTAGTAGCAGTATCAGTATCCATCTATATCCGCGCTTTTCACCATATTATCGTCTCTCTACACTTGTGCACTGCTTGCACTACCATCCCAGTTCTCTGCGCATTTTCGCCTTTCGCACTTTCGCCTTCCCGTGCTTCGCGCATTTTTCGCATTTCACTTTCCCGCGCGCGCCTTGAGCGCATTTCTCGCGCTTACATCGCCCTTTTGTCGCCTTTGATCAGGGTTGATCAGCATCATTTCGTGGATCCTTGCTTTCTTTGCTTCCCTTAAGGGTCGAACATATCACACGGCATATCAAGACCCAACATAGAGAGTGTTTGCTTGTCATCTGACTTGCAGTCACCTTTGTTGTGTTACCCACACCGTGTCTAAGAAAATTGCATCACAATTTCCAGATGGGAATGTATCACTTGGTGGTTCGGCCTGGACAGCTTGGCTAGGCATGATAATTGATGGGCGAAATGTCGAATGCAGTTGGATACGAAACTTGGACCAAATCTTAATGGTGCTAAACATCCGGAAACACCCTTCGACATCATCTGCATATCGCTGAATGTATTCTGTGACCTTGTGACGAAGATCAGGGAGTCCATAGGTGCGCATCACATCAGGCCAGCTCAGATTTGAGCCATCAGGAGAGCGAGTGACGGTAAGCGCTGCATTGGCGCTGTCAGATAGGATGCCCTTGGTGAAATGATTCCGTATGGGCCTGGGGGCGCTGAAATGATGTTGTTCGTCAGGGGCAACACGAGAAACCCATGCCATCGTCGGGTCTGTGGCATATACTTCCTCATCTTCATCGATGACGGCATTCACGAGAGCATGGTTATGTTGGTGAAGGAGGAGATATAGATCGAACTGCCGCATCCGCTCTTCACGATCAAGGATGCGGACGATCTGCTCGCCGAAATCTTTCTGTTTGCTCGTTCTTGTGAAAGGGCTTTTGCAATGTGTGATGAGAAGTCGTTCACTAACATCCACAGTGAATTGAATCAATCCACCGTTGTTCCTAATGGCCTCTGCGAAGCTCAGAAGGAGCTCGAGTTTTGGTATGTAGAAGTCCTCCTTGATGCTGCTTTGTCCCCGACGTGCCTCAGCTTCCAGGATTGCCACCTTGCAATCGTGGAATTCGTTAAGTGACGCTTGCATTGCCTCGATACTTGATTCTGTATGGACAGGGTTCTGCGCTTGATACATGAAATCGATGAGAGCACGAATAGCTTGCACAAATTCAGGGGGAGCAGCACCCAAAATCATGGCGACGATGGTGCGCTGGATATCACGATGCTCTCGTCCAGTCATCTGTGCTACATGTGAGATCCCAGAAGAGAAGTGACGCACACCAACACGCTTGTGATGACTCTTGTAGTGTGCGTCAAGCTCGTCGCTTCCGACCACTTCTTTACACCACTGCAACAGATGGTCGAAGAAGAATTTGTGCAGGGTGTGAAGGATTTCAGGGACAAGGAAAATAAAGACCTGGGTGAGCGCCCAGTCGCACCAGAACGGAAGATGAATGCCTAGGAGGAGAAGCTCCTTCGCCTTCTTCTGGAACCGGTCAAGATTTCATGGATTGATGGACTTGCTGAGAATGTACAATAGCTCCAAGGTATGTTCCACTGTGCGAGGATCGTGACGGTTGGCATCCCCGAATTGCTTGTGAGTGGCCAGTGTGATGGGGGATGCGTTCTTTGACACAGAGGCGATCATCAATTGTTCTGGAAGGTCTGCAATCCAAGCGACAAGAGGGGTAAAGCAATATCGAAGTTCACCAAAGGGATCAGGCATAAACTCGCCGACCTTTGCTGCGACCTTTAAGCTGGCAAAGACTAAGTCAACACACTTGTGCCAGACACGCGACTTCAGGATTGTGTGATAATCAGAATGTGTTTCAAACTTGGGGATTGGTATATATGCTACACATCGCCAAGCATGGGATGTAGCCTTCATACGAATGTCAGAGTCGATGTTGCCGATAGTGAGGAAAAGAGGGTGCATTTCCAGACCGCCCGTCTGTCTTGTGACTGGTGTCTTGTCCGATGCAGCTATTATGGGCATTATGGTCGCCCCTTCGGGCAGCTGGTCCTGGAATAGTCGATAGTTGAGAATGTGAAAATACAGAACAGAAGCACATACCTGTGTCGAGAATGCTCGATTTGCTGTGAACCACTCTCCATACTCTCACTGCGCACCCTCCCGGACATGTAAAGGATCAAAAGACATGTTTTGAGCGAAAATTGGGTTGCCAAAGAGGCTCTTCGCAACTTCAAGGCCATCATGCCATATTAGATGAATGGGAGCAGTGGTGGTGTACCCCTGTACTTCAAACTGCGTGATACACCATTTCAACCCGGGAGGTCAAAGGTCCATCCAGGACAATAGTTCTCGAGCACTCAAGAATGAGGGTTTTTCTTTCACATTGAACTGAAAATGTAGAGTTAGCAAGTAGTACACAGACAGATCATATAGAATACCCAAGACAGTTTGAAAAAATGATCGATCTCTGTCTGCATCATGGTCTCAACTAGAAATTTACCGAGTGACCACTTATATGGTCATTTCAGAAATAGGTTTCAAACTTGTGAAAAAATTTCTTTTCATGGGCTGGTACATATCATGGAGGGTACTTCTAGGAATGATATGAGCCAACAATTAAAGAAATCGGCGGTTGGGTTGTGGAGATATGGCCAAAATACTGACTTTTTGGCCCCACCACCATATGTCACCAATATTGATCTCCAGGTGGTCCAGGATCATCACCAATCGATTCCTACACCTAAAAAACCCTAGGACAGGCCTTTACAGTATCGGTCTTAAGTTAAATTCAAGCACAGCAAAAGTATAGGAGGTAGGAGGGGGGAGGAGGACCTTGTATATCTCAAGAACGCGATTTTTTCTGGGAAATCTGGCTCGACCATCGTGTTCAGATGGATCAAGAACCCCCAGGAAAAATGCTTTTGTAGCACTGGCAAGTCATGGGAAGTCTGTAAAAATCGATCTTTGTGGGGGGTATGAGGCAAACTGACATATTTCAATTCAAACAGGCTAGAAATAATCTGGGACCATCTCCAATCGATTCCTGTGATCATAAAACACTAGGAACATCCTTTGATATATCAGTATTCACATAATATGAAGATATATGAGATAGGAGGGGGAGGGGGACCTTGCATATCTCAAGAACATGATTTTTTCTGGCAAATCTGGCTTGACCATCATGTTCAGAGGGTTCAATAACCCCCAGGAAGGATGCTCCTGAAGGACTGACAAGTCATGGGAAGCCTAGAAAAATCGATCTTTGTGGGGGGGGCATCAGGCAAACTGACACATCACAATTCACATGGGCCCGGATGACTCTGAGACCATCTCCAATCACTTAATATGATACAAAAACACTAGGAACATCCTTTTATACATCAGTATCGACATGGAATCCTGCCTCTGGGCACAGTAGGTAGTAGGTAGGGGGAGGGGGTAGCATCACTCTGAAATATGATTTTTTCGGACCAAACCAGTGTTCCCATCAGATTCAGACGGCCAAATAACCCCAGAAACAAGTTCTATTTGAAGCCAAGCAAGTCATATGAAAGCTCAAAAAATCAATCATTGGGTGAGGCAGCATAACAGGGGTGACATTGCTTACATAAGCAAAAGCGGTCAACTTGACCATAGGTGGGCAACTTTGCAACAACATGACTTTGCCATATCAAATTGTTGCTCCTACTGGTCTATGGCTTCAGAAATAAGCCTGAGATCAAGCTATGCAAGTCATGCAAAGGCTGACAAAATTGACTTTGGGTGAGGGCCTCAGCACAACAGGACTTGATAACTCATGACTTTGGAACATGATTTTTTCGCACCAAACAGATGCTGCTATCAGATTCAGGAGGCTCAATAACTTCTAGAACAAGTCCTATCTTGAGCCAGGCAAGTCATGTGAAGGCTGAAAAAATCGATCTTAGAGGGTAAGGCAGCATGACAGGGGTGTTCAAATTTGAAACATGATTTTTACACATGAAATGGGCATGCCCACTCGATTTAGATGGTTCAATAACCTCAGGAACAAGTTCAAGATACAGTCATACATGTCATATGATGGCTGGAAAATCAATCTTAGAGAGGGAGGCAGCATATCAATGTTGGTTATTTGCTTCTAATAAGCCAACTTGCAAAATTTCAACAAGCATCTTCCAATTACAATATATAGCTTTCGTTTGATTGACGCTGATCATATGCACAAAAATGTGCTGTTTCATCGAATATTTCTTATGATAAGATGTGGCTTTATTATTGTGGCCTGATGTGACAATGATTATATAAGCAAAAATGCGGTCAACTTGAACCAAAAAATTCTCTTTCTTGCTTCTCCCTCCCTCACTCATGTATTTTAATTTTCACTTCTGGGATGATTTTCCGTTGATGTCACCCTGCATGAGTCTAATATTATCACCGATATGAACAACAAATTTCGCTTCTTGAAGTGTTTGAGGTAGAATGACCATCATGTTTATGTGCCTTGTGTTTTTGCTTTGATATACTTGTATGTTTGTCACTGGATTCTCTATACACCTGGGTGACTCAAACTTCAAGAAAGATGTCTGAAACCGGCATAAAATTCTGTCCTCGCACCCTATGTAAGTAGATGAGCCACTGGCTATGACACATAGATAAGTTTGTCTATTTATTGAACAAGTTAAAACTATAGTGACTGCCAGTATATGTAAGTCAAGAATAATAGATGTGATGTAGGGAGTTGTGCCTACAGGCTCACACACCTGGTATCGTCAGGGCGTTCAGACTGTCAAGTAACCTGGATTGCACATCCAGATCATGATTGATGACTTGGACAACATCAATAATAGATGGATGCACGTGTCCGGTGATGGAATGGACATTTGACAACTGGTTCAATCAAATCACTAGATGTCTGAAGTCTGGATCACATATTCAGGTAGGCCTCCTGTGAATCTTTGTGGTCTGTGATTGACTACCAATAGCCAATTGATAACATCATTGTTATACAGCAGGAATTCCAGTATCATCAATTCTAGAGAAATGTGATGGCTGTCCACCATCAGAGTCACTATTTTTTATACTCCACAGTATACCACCTTCATCTTTCTCACATCTCACCTTCTGTTAGTAGGAACAGTGATGACATTTCTATGAAATAGAGCAACCTCCTCTTCTCACCTTTTATTTCTCACTCTATTTCTTGGCTAGATATATCATTACTGTTCCCACTAACAGAAGGTGAGATGGGAGAAAGGTGAAAATAGTGATCTCAGACCTTGAATCCACCTGTCTTGTTCATCACTGTTCCCACCAACAACAGGTGAAATGTGATAATTGCAAAGGTAGTGAAAATGAAGGCAGAAGGAAGTGACATTAAGCCTTACAGGGTAGAGTAGTAGGAAAGAGAAAGAGGGTACAAGAAACTGAATGAGTAGCAGTATGAATGGTAAAGTCATGAAATTATACCCCAGAAGCTATTTGGTTAGTGGAAGAAGGTATAACTAGAGGATGCTATGAAATAACTCAATGTAACTCACAAATGTTGCTTTTACTAACCAGTGAATTCAATGTTCTTGAACATTCATTTTCCATGATCAATAACTTGGACTACATCAATAATGGATGCATGTATGTGTCTGGTGATGAAACAGACATTTGACAGTGCCCTACCTGGTCCAATATGACATCCTCCTCCTCTTTCTCTTTGTGTTCCAATGTCCTGAGAGCGACCAATGTAAGATCAGGTAACATTATAGTAAATATTGGCTATACAGTTAATGATAGTGTGCATGAATGCCCGAGAATGCTGTATGATGCTTCACTTCCAAAGATCAAGGACTACATGTCTACATCTATTCAGAGCCATGGTGCCTAGACAGAGGAAATGGTCTGCTTTGTGTGCGGGGACGCGGGGGAGGAGGGACCCTCTTGTGCTTGTTTGCCTTGGTTAATATCTTGTGAAGGTCCCTGCGTTTCTGCCTGTCACTTCCTGCCTCTTCCACCTGTTCCACAGAGGGCAATATCCTTGGAGATATAACCTGTAGCCAGGTAATCCAGGATAGTTGTCCATTCTATCACCGGACATGTGCATCCATCTATTAGATCACAGACTGCAGTGACCCCTATCAAGGACATGAATTAAAGATGAGAGAAGAGGTGGTTCAAAGTGGTGCGTACTATTTTTGCTTCTGGACAGCCAAGATATTGACTAACTATGACTGTCCCAGATCACCTTGCAATTGTATATCCCGTCATGTAAGCAGCAAAAATACAAATATAACCTCAGGAATGTGGCAACACGTGAACAATGTGCTCCGACCTACCAGGAAAGGCTTCTGGTCTCTATATGAGGATGACCTGGTGGCTTGTTTAGTACATCAATATCCAGGCATTTGAATATATTGGGAAGAAACAGGAAGGACTGGACTGCAGAAATGCAATTGTCTTACTTACCTTAGCTTTATTGCCTTTATCGCTAAAAATTATTGATGTGACAAATAAATTCACTTTTACATTATTGCTCGCTATGTCTATGAAATCAGGTCATATCAGAGAGAATATTGGCTATACATTTGCTAACAGTACATATAAATGGCTGACTATCGTATGTGATGCACAAGGATCACGTGCTAGTCATCTACATCCATTGTATCATCACATACAGGTTTGGGGCTAGACAGAGGAAATGGTCTACTCCGTGTGCGGGAACGTGGGGGAGGTGGGACCCTCTTGTGCTTGTTTGCCTTGGTTAGTTTTTTATGAAGGTCCCTGCGTTTCTGCCTGTCAGACCGCTTTCTAAGAGCTCCAAGGGCATCGAAAGGCATGACATCCATTAGGTCCGCTGTGAAAATGCGCTTTCCCTTGATTACATTGACTGGGCGGCGCACAACAGGTCCTCTTCGACTTTCACCAGCTCTCCCTAAGCATTCAATTTTGTAGAATGCGGGATTAGTGACGAAGACTATGGCTGATTGTTTGACACGCCATACAGCTGCAGTGGTGCTTGCAGGAAGACAGTGAAGGTTGGAAAATATATCTTCAAGTCCATCTTGCAAGAGGGTCTTCTCATCGTCGTCCATGCCTTTCAACAACCTATGAAACTCTGCGATGTATCCTTCTCCAGTCCATAATGAAGACCACTGAGAGCCTCCCTTCTTGAGCGATTCATGACTTGGGAAAAAGATGGACAACCGGTGTGCAAATGATTTAGACCTTGGGCCCATACGTCCAGGGGTCACACCTGTATGGTCCTGGAGTCCAATATTGCATGCATCGAAGGTCACAGCAGCCAGGGTGTCGGTGATGCTTGTTATCGTCCAGCATTTCATGGCTTCCTGTAGTGATGCTGGGCATGGCCTGATTCCCTGGAAGATCTCATCTTTGAGCATGAGCCACAGGTGCCTGGTGCACATCACAAATAGTCGTCCCACAGACAGTTGTGCGTGCGAGAGTCTGGAAAGCCACACCCAAGGCTTCATAATGTTTGCTGGAGAGCTGGCTATGGCTGACTTTAGTCGAGCCCACGAAGGCCTCCGACCAAGAGGAAACTCCTCAGACTCCAATTCTGCATCTGCTCTTGAAATCTCTAGCCTCGCTGCTGTTCTAGCTCTCTGCACCTTTGTATTTGCACCCATGAGAGCCAGCACCGTAATATCATCCTGCTGTTGGACATCATAAAGGCAGGTATCATTGGTGAGATCGAATTCCTGCAAGAAGAACATTCCTGCAGTCTCCAGAACATTTCTATACTCCAGTAGAGCCAGGGATTCGCGTAGATGAGAGTCAAACACGATTGGGGTGGAGGTTGTGGAGCGCAGCATGTAATTGAGGATGCTTGTGAGGATACCAAGGTTTGGCGGGTGTCTCCTCACTATGGCGATCTGTGTCCTTTGAACCTCACGCACCCGTCTTGCCAGGAATCCAAACCACACCTCAGATGGGATCCATAGCACTGGATCGGATCTCAGATACTCTTCTGCCTGAATCACAATCATTAACACTGCAACATAATTCTTGAGCGAGGGTCGCTTACCTTAGACATTACACTCTCAAGAATGAGTCTGGCAGCCTTCCCACTTGTCCTGTATTCATCTCGCACGCCATAGGTTTTGCCCTTGGAACCGGTCAACACTCTTGCAATATTGAAGCATTCGGTCATGTAATTTGATGATGTCTTGTAGGCGTCGCTGTCCATTGCAAAGCTGACCTGGTTGTTGGTGGTTCTGACTGCTTCGTAGTATAGGTTGTATGCGCTCCGGAATGCTACATGGGTCTGCTGACATCTCTCCCGCTGCATCTCGGCCTGTAGCGCACCATATCGTGAGAGGGTGTTGTGGTGATGCAGCTGGCCTTTGTTATACCCCCCTGCTCCGAAGGAGGCCTCCAATGCATCCAATCTCCAAAGTCCTACCACAGGAACATCTGATGAGCGTGGTGTAAACGACACCCCAACATCAAGCAGTAATTCTCCATGTGTCCTGTCCATCATGTGGTGCCAATCCAGGTCAGGTAGGTTGTGAAGCAGGGCGTCTTCAGGTCCCTGAAATCGCCCCCTCTGGCCATCCTTGGTGATAAGCTTGATCCCCTTCCCCTCCAGCACGAAGAAGCACGACCCAAACATGCTCAGCTCCATGTGGCCGTCCTTTATTCGATCATGCATTCGTACCTGCACCTCCAGAAAGTCATCATTCGACAATGGAATTATCTTTTGAGTCCCCTTTCCACCTGTCGTTCCAGATCCACCCTTATTCTTGTATCTGGCCTCCTGGAGTGATTGTTTCATGTATGCCTGCCAGCTAATGTCGGCACAATCACCGATGGATGGCAGCAACACTCGGTCCCAAAAGATGTCTTCGACTTCATTAGGTATTATAGTCACTTTTTTGCCACTGATGGCATCATCATGCTTGAGGCGGGGGAAGAAAATGTACACATTAAGGGTGGAAGCCGCAGATGAGATGCGCCCGATGCATAGATGCGGGATGGAATCCATTTTAACTCGTAGAGACAGCCATTCCGCCCTGCCTCCTGGTTCATGTGCATCCTCTTCTGACTGCGGAATAAGGAGGTCCAGATACGCATGATTGTGCTTCGAGATCCCAGGCTTGGAATGAAATGGAGGTGTCATGTAGACTCCGATGGTCCCACGCAATCTCAATGTCTTCGTCATCCAGATAATGCTGTCGATATCCACTGAGATCGATATATCATCTTCATCAAATCTAATTGCATCCAGCTCAAGATCCACATATATCGGCCTTTCATCACCGTCTGACCCACTGGTACACCCACGCACAAACAGATCATGGCCATATCTGCATTGTTCCTGCAGAGGTGGATCATACTGTTCAGCTGATTTGATCATATCTGAAGCAGATAATATGACAACATCACTGATTCTTACACCACTGCTGCCCTTGTGAGCCCCTGTCCTGTCTAGGGAATATGCGCCTGTCACTCGGTCAGGTACCTGCATTGATGAGTCATATGAATCCAATGTTCCAATAGGCATGATGTGTTCCATTGTGTCAAGAGGTCGACACTGGTAGAACATTTGAAATGTGCTTGGCTTGATCCTGTACCCATGGTCGACCCAGGTCGCCCAGGCTGCAGAAAGCTCCATTCGAGCTGAATGATATATCATGGTAGGGTGGACATTGCTGGGGGGCCTCAGCATCTCTATTGTTGGTCCGCCTTCATAGTCATCAAATGTTCTGTTATCTGGAAGCCATCGCCTGCCTTTGTATGCGGCCATTGCAGGTGGTGCAGTAGGACGAGGAAATCGTTTAATACTGCCAAGATTCCAGTTGGAGACACGTTTTCGAGATGCTTTTGCAGCAGATGACCGCTGGGAATCGTCTTGTCCACATGCCTCGGCAGACTGCTCTGGCTCTACTGGAATATGAGTTCCCAATGCACGTGGCACTACGCTGTTACGGTCGCGTGCCATAGAAATCTCCTTGGTAGCTTTCAATATCTGGGAAAGCCTCGCCTTCCTATCCTGAGGCAGTGTTGTACCAAGCTCCAAGTCTTCATCATCATGGGTGTCCATGTCCTCCACATCGTTATCTTCGGTGCTGATATCGGGATCCCTATGGATGGGTAGATGAACAGCAGGATTTTCATTCAGCACTGGAGGTCGTTTGCATGTCATGCATGTCGCACTGACAACAGCAAGTGTTCGGAGCATCGAGTTACATTCCGCATGATACTTCCCAGTGCGTACTGCATCCATGTCCTCCTCTTCTGGTGGTGTATCATCTTGCCAACACAATGGGGGGCTCTCTCGCAGCATCATGTAGTCGATGTAGCTGTCCTTGATATGACCTGCGACTACACGCAAGATTTTGATGCGCAACGTGTGGCCACATGGAATTTCTGACACATCCACTGGTAGTGCTCCATCCTCTCCCATTCCACAGATCATAGTCTGTTCCATCACTGAGCATGCAGTGGCGCTGCGGTCTATTCCACTTAGCCCCCAATCATAAGACAGTACCTGAATGTCGTCGAGATCTCCTGAATCCCACCCATGCAGTGTCGCAGCTCTATCCCAGTACTCTGGCCCATTCCATGTTTGCCAGTCGTGCGGATCTTCTCCATCAACATTCATTTCATCATCTGACGTATGGCAGCCCAGGACATGTGCCTTGCGCCTCTGGAAGTCGAATACTACAGCGAGGAATTGGACACCATTGTTTACTATGAATCCGACAGGAACCACAGGACATCCAGTATTACAGGAGATGTAATGATCTGTCCTGATGATCTCTATGTCGTCATCATTCTGGTTCATTGGCGCAGCTGCCATCATGTCGATGAATCGCATCCTCGTTTGGTTCCATACAGAATACCAGACTCCTAATAAATAGAAGTTGGCCACAGCACCATCAATATGTTCTGAGTGTACAGCAATTGTTGAGGATGCTTCCATTGCGGCAGTCCAACGAGATGGCCGTGCCATGGTGCGAGCTGTTATGAGTGAGCTTTGGTTCACAAATACTATAGTGATGCAATCTATAGATAAACTCACATGCAATCTCTTCCATGGTGTGCCCAATCTCGTGTACTTGTGCGCTTTCACACACCACTGATGTCTGTCTTGCCTCATGCGGAGGTGGAGTCGGATGATATTCTTCATCATGGTGCCTCCTGCCAGATATGTCTGCATTGCGAACCATCAGATCATGTAGTAGATTGTATTTTGTTCTCACCAGGTCGTCCCTCATAGTCCCGTTGTCCTGCATCATCCTCATCTTCATAATGATTCTCATGTGCAATGTACTCAAATTCATCGCTATCATGCTGGCCCCTAGTGTCCAAATGATGCATGGATTTCTTTGATCCTGCAAACAAGCAGTTAGCGTCTCTGCAGATGGTAGCTAAATGACAACATGCCTTTAACACAGGAACATATTGATCGCCTTTTTTGACAGACTTTACCATGTCTTCTGGTCGCATGCGCAGATGTTCCCCACACCTTTGCACGTGTCACAGCTCCTGGTCCTGTTGTGCATCCTGGAATAGGACTGATAGTAACGCGGATAGCAGGACGCTTTGCATGTTTCTGTCCACGACTCTGCTGTCTTGTCTGTGTGGCATATGATGACTCTATGATAGAAGTTCAGGAATGTATATAGTGCTGCCTTGTCGAGTGAAATATTGTAGACTGACCCTGTTGCTCAGGCACCTCTTCATTCACGAATGAATTGGTAACATCATTTGAGAATCCATGGTAATTTTCAATGGCGAGAAAGCAGTCACCGGGTGCCTGGATCAATGCGGGGTTTCTGCATGCTTCGCATGTTGCGCTTGAAGCAGCCAATGTGTCTAGGAGACCTTCACATGTATTGGGATGCTGTCCACGCTGTATAGCAGAAATAACTTCCTCGTCCGGAATATAATGGGACATATGATGTGTTTCGGGCCTGTCAAGGAGCATCATATAGTCTCTGCAACTGATTTGGATTTGCGCAGAAGCAATGCGGAATATTTTCATGCGTAGTATGTGCCCGCATTGTATGTGTATTGGCGGCACATTCCCGTCTCTATCCAGTCCAGCTGTTAGAACTTGCTCCAGCACGGAGCATGCTGTAGGGCCACAGTCCAATCCATTTTGCTCCCAATCTCGAGTTTTGATGCGAACATCCGCAGGATCTCCGGCACTCCACCCATGAAGGGCTGCGAGTCTCATCCAATATTCAGGCCCTGCCCATGCCTCCCAGTCATCTGGATTGGTCCCATCCACGTGCATGGCATCATCTGAAATATGGCGCCCAAGGATGTGCGCCGTACGTCCTTGAAAGTCAAATACGACAATGAAGAAATGGGCAGAATGATGGACGACAAACGCAACAGGAACTATGGGACATGCACCATGTGGAGGGATGAAGTAGTGCGTCCTTATTTGGTCCAGCTCTGCGTCGCATAAGTCAACAGCCATAGCAGCATACATGTCCAGATATCTCATCCTGGATCGGGCGAGCCCATCATACCAGACTTTTGAAAGATAAAAGTTCACCACTGTTGCATCAAGCCACACGTCCAATTGGAGTGTTTTCAAATTGTGCCATGCATCTATCCAAAGAATTGGTCGTGACATTGCATTAGCTGTCTCTGTGATTAACTCGTTGATCTCCCTGGTAGTGACCCACTCACAAGCAATGTCAGCAATGGTTGGCGTGCCTGGAGCATGTGATAGTGATTGGATGATTGGTGATTCTGGAGCCTTCGTCTGGGTCTCTTCATCATCGACTCCTATGTTTGGTGAATCTAAATTCCCAAAGATAAGTGAATGTCATTTACTACATAGCTGAATGAAATGGGCCTATTGGGCTTCAGTTCTCACCCGTGATATCACCATAAACATCAACATCACTACAAAATCTTACAACTTTTGTTCTAGATCTTCCTGCCAATTTCATGTTCAGATGGATTGCCTTCATAGTTTCCATCATGACTAACCCACTGAGCGACCACCCACCACACGCTTTTTCGGACGTCCACGAGCTTTCTTCTTTGTCTGAAGTAGGATAGATTCCGTGTGATGCATTGCTGAATGTTCATCATTCAATCCAGTGACAGATATGCCTTGATATGTCCCAAGAGTCTTTGTGGTACTGTTGTGTACTTTGACAGCACTCGCGTCTGTGGGCCGATTTTCAGGGATTGGACTTATTGTAACACGTATGATTGGGTTGCGGGAATGATGTTCGGTCATAGCGGCTGATAGTTCTACATCAACTGTGCCAGATGCCTGTTTTTTGGAGATGCCTGCACCAAGTTGTGATTGACTTGAATATAGGAGAACATAGTTGACTCACGATTTGCTGCACCTTTCATCCCTTTCTTTCTTGGCCTTCCTCGCTGACGCTTATTATCTTTTACAGAGTCCTCTCCAGCATCCAATATTCCACAATTCTCTATGGCCACCAGAAGTCCAGCAATATCTGTGTCTGTATTCCACCCATCATCACCTGCATCAGATGCTGTACGTTGAAAAGAACTTCCTCCTTTCTTTCTCTTTTGGCTGGAATCAAGGATGCCACATGCAAAGATCTCCTCCACAATTTCAAGTCCATCCTCACCATGCATTGCACTGTTGATACTGACAGAGTTGAGGTACGTGTAGAATGAAAATACGAATACCAGCTATGCATTGCCATCTCTGCGTGATGCTAATCGCTCACGCAAATAATTAACCCAAATAATTACCCCTTAGGGTTGAATACATACAGGTGACCTAATTTACTAACACTCCATGCGCTCGACACTGCATAGTACTTCGGATCCAGTGATTCATGTCCATTCCACCGGTTGACACATATTATATATTTTCTTCCATGCTTCTGATGCAAATCTAAATAGCTGTGGGCCCCACCCCATAATTATGTCAAATCATACACCGCACTGGCTGCATTTGCATGTGCTATTCAGCTCCGCCGATCCACATGATTGAATTATGACATGCCATTTAACCTTTGCAGTAATCCTAGGGTCTGACGATCATGCAACAGGAATGCTCAATTCTAAAATGTTGTTGTCGTTTGCAGGTTGTAAGGGAGCCAAACTCATGCTAAGCGTCGCTAGACCTGTCCTAATTGGGAATTGTCTAAACCTTACAGTGCGCAGCGTCAACATTTGCAGTCTTAAGACGTGTCCTTAAAACGTGTCCTACTGCGGAGGTTAAGGACACGTCTTAAGACTGCAAGTGTTGGCGCTGCGCGCCCTAAGGTTTAGGTACAATTCCCGTTTAGGACAGGTCTAGCGACGCTTAGCATGAGTTTGGCTCCCTTATGACCTGCAAATGACAACAACATTTTAGAATTGAGCATCCCTAACCATGTGATCCGCGAGTTTCGGACAGGCTTTACGTGTTCGTATCCTATAGTAATGCAACCTTAATATATTCTTAAATGTTTTAATGTTGTAGTTCCAAGCCTTGATAGGCCATAGTTAGTTTTTCGCATTCTCGTTCACTTTCTCCATGTCTCATCGTCTATCGATCACCAGCTCTGCCTCACATGTTGATGGTCGAAATCTCCCCCCGATGAAAGGCAATACGCCAAATATGCGTCGACTACGGACTTGTAGATCCATTGAATGTATGTATCCAGTTCAAGGCGATGGCTTGTTGACCAATGCCTTGAGACTGACCAACCTCATATTTTGTACAGGGGTCTACAACAAGGATGACGAGTCGTGTTCCACCCCTAAGTTAGGTCGTATTATACTCAGGGTAGGGGAAACGTGCGACATGAAGATACATCTGGATGTCAACATGCTGACTCTACTCACTTCAGTATCACAATTTTTCCTGATGATTCAAGGGCGGTGGCGGAAAAAGACGGCAGCCTGCCCATCATGTCTTATTGGTATGGAAAAATCACGAAAATCTGCTTAAAACCCCAAGGACAAACCCATGTAAGTGTATGAATTGCATGACCAGTATCTACCCGCTAACACGATCTGACCAAGGATGTCTGGCTAGAGATTCAGTGGTTTTACAGAAAAGTAGACCTGGAGGATGTTGGGGTAAAGTGCGATTCTTCGTTATTTGCATCATTTGCAATATTCTGACCTGTACAACGCAGCCTTGCTCAATCCATGGGTGACTATGAGCTAGTGCTCAGCGACCACAAATCATTTGTGGACATCACATGTGTGGAGGGTATGTGCCTTTTATTTTACTGCCTACTTATAATTCATACCATGTCAGATCATGCCATGATTCTTAGTTACAATGAAGGCGACCTCTCACAACTTGAAATCCCACCCGAGACTCTCTACCATCGATGGAATATCAATATCACATTTGTGAAGAGTAGAAAGGATGTGCGCATTCGTAGTGTCAACCTCAATGTAAGGCTATGGACTCGTACATTATCCTTCTATATTAATTTAAATTTTATTTCCTATCACAGAACCCACAAAGAGCAACGCAGTGTCGCTGCAACAATTGCGATCATGAGCTATACTGTCCCAGCATCGCCCAGCGATACTGCAGGAAATGCAGACAATGGTTCAATGATGAGTGCCTAGACACTCTCGAACGTCGTGTAGATCGACATCCCGCACCAATTTCACCGGATGTCTACGGTAATATTGATGTGGATGAAGAGTTCCTCGCGATGTTGACATTGCCAATTTGCCGTGGCGGACCATATGGGGTGGTTGGTAATGGATCCATTTATGCGCGAGCGAAGTCAATGTTGCACGATGGAAAGATTCATGGTAAACTTCCAGAGGAGTGGAGGAATATCTTAATGGATGCTGAGTCGTTAGATTATGAGGGTCTCAGCTATTATAAGTGTCCATGTTGTGTAGACGTGTTATGCTAAGGACTTCTATCGTCGATACATCAGTCAATACGTCTAACATTTGTCAATAACACGTTCCTTGAAGGTTGGCTTTAGGTTCATGTCCAGATCATTGAATTCATCTGATAATAATTCCATAATGGCTCTATGTAATAATATTGACGGGATTAAATAGCCGAAATGAACATGATCCGATTTTAGCGGTTCTGAATGTGGCAACGCAAGGAATGATATCAAATCGTGTAGGTTAGACATTATTTATCCTGTACTACGCGAAACGGTCTTTGACTCCCAGTTCGATGGATCCCTCATTTAAATTCCGTCATTGGAGCACTCGCGGCGTTGGGATGCTAATGAAATCGAAGGGAACGATCAAAGATATTGATGGGGAGTATTCGTTCACGGTCTCTGGAAAGTCCTCACAGAGCTGCTCAGTTGCGGCCCACTATAGGCTTCCCCTTCGAGCAATCAACAAAAAATTCGGACTTTACAGAAAGATCGTAATTCACCTGACAGAGTCATCGCATCCACTCGCCACACAACTTCGAGACACTTATCTATCAATAATGGACTATCTCCAAAATGTTCGCATCACATTCTGGTCGGATGCCCGAGGATCTCCAGATCCACTTGATGCTGAGTTCAGGTCTCCGGCAATGGATTATTATCTATGGTTGGACCACAGGGCTGGTGGATTTCATAACGAGTGTCGTATGAAGCTGGAGATGTATCATCAGATAACCTTGAAATCTATCAAGAACCGAGAGGGCAAGGATATCATACCACTGCGTCAGTTATCGTCTATATATAACATTCATTGTCTAATTAGTAGAGAAGTTGATTGGGGCTCCTATCACGCAAATACCTGTCAAGAATACGATTTGTGTGGGGCATTTCAGGGTTCTGTGTACGAGGAGAACATCCAGCATCTACTAGATGCAGTAGATACTTCCATGGACGCAGGTCTCAAGGGTCAGAAATCGGCCAGCTCGGAAGCCAGTCACGACATTAACACGGATAGACAACCACCATTAGAAGTAGATGTCATGGTACGCCCACTTGTGATCCCTTGCCTATTCAATCATGACATGCACACTCTTGCAGCAGAGCAATATCGATCGCTCAGTGGAGTCGGTGGATGACAATTTGAATGCATCTAGTGCTGCGGAATTCGCCCAAGCCAGTCACGACATTGACACGGATAGACAACCGACATTAGAAGTAGATGTCACCGTACGCACACTTGTGATCTCTTTGCCCATTCAATCATGACATACATACTCCTGTAGCACACCAATATTAATCACCCAGTCGGGTCGGTGGATGAAAATTTGAATGCAATATCTAGTACTGCTGATGCAACGGATGGAGAACATACATTTGATGAATCTATTACAATCTCAGATACTCTGGTATGTCCAAAACCACGATCACGCATGAACGCAATTGGGAGTTTCACATTAATATCGATGCACTAGTCACTGAGTCAGCATTCAGAGCTGATCCAAACTGCGACATCAAATCGAGGTTGTACTGGTACAGATGGGGCTATTGAACCACCAAAATCTGCTGAACACGTAGAGTCAGGCCTGAGGCCAGTGCGTGTTTTTATTCTCAGTTGATCGCAACTGATGTACATTTGCAAGTTTCCACATGCATTCAAGCAGTCATACTGCAGGCGGGCTATTAGTACGATGGGGGTACCGAGTATCCGTATTGATCTTTCCCAGTGGTTTATTGCATACATCGTCGTAAGGATGCGAGAGATTCATGGACTTGACGAAGACACCCCTCTGGACCATGTCTTGGACTTCGGGTCTGAGAATCATGTCACCTGTGCAGAATACAGCGAGGTGCATGGAATGGCAACATTCATAAAGAACGTGCAGACCATTTCGGTCGAACGGCGAACTATGGCGCAATTCTTTGAATGTGCTTCTCGTGGTCTCACCATGGCCAGGGTGTTTGTTGATTGTGCAATTCAATGTGATGAAGAGTCCGAGGATCACAATATGAAGCATCAACGAGATGCGTTGGCCATTGCTGTACAAGATACCGATTCTCCATGTTTTCAATATTCCAACGATGTTCCCAACACGGAATGCGATGTACGAGGATTTTCTTCAAGGCAGTGGAACATCTTCATACATTGATATCATTGATACAGGATATCATTAACAATTCCTCGACATCGATAGGTCATGATCAGGATTCCTCGGCGGCATTCACTTGGGATGTCGAAACGCCTTGCATAACTCCTGGTGATTGGATGAACCGTTTGACTCCAGGAAGCTCTACAAAGAACAATATCGTCAACGATTCAAGTTCTGACGACCATATGGACCTGCGTGGTCGGCTAAGACCTCGGAAGCCCAAGGAGCCCAAACGTCGTGTACAATTTGCGAAGCAACGCCGTCGTGAAAATTCACCCTCGGAGCAAGATGTCAATGTAAATCAGCGGGGCTCTGGGCGCCCTGTAATATTTGCTGTTTCACAGCCACGGTCCAGGTCAAAGAGGCGGAATGCTCCACCAGCCGTGCATTACACCTTAGATGACCTGATCAAGGAGTCACGCAAGGATCACAAAGATATTCAGCCATGTGTAAGACTTTGATACACCCATTTGGATTCTTAACCAATATGAGCTCATAGATTCACTCCTTTCTTGTCGATCCCCACCGGGATGCGTTCATCGAAAGCAACTTGCCAACTGAATACGATCTACTAGTGGATGTTGCGCGATTTATAGCGGGTAGGCTATCGAAAAAGTCAATGTCGGATACCCCCATGCTTGCAGCACTATCGCTGATGAAGATCGAATACTGGCTACAAGACGTTGCGGATGATTGCAACAAGGCATTAGAAGCCGGCGATATGACATTATCACCTTTGGTACGAGCAGTACAATGAAGTCGATTATTGCCCTAATATTGTTAAACTGCATGCTTAGGCCCGACATGTCTTACTCGAACTTTCAAAGCGTGCTTCGACGGATGCAGTATCTCTGAGTGAAGCATTGGAGATATACATATCGGTAAATATTTCTATTCGATGGTGATCCACAACACTGAGCTGACGCTGGCCTTTGCTGAAGAAGCATCAAAATTCTTTCAAAGCATTTTCCATTGTGACTCGATATCTATGTAAGCTACGGGCATCACACCCTGGCGCAGACATTGAGTATGAATCTGGATTCAAGGTATTAGCGAGGATCATCACTAGACATCAGAGGGATAAGCAAATCTGATATCAGGGCCTGTTTTGCAAGATAATCTACTAGTGCGAGTTAGAGTATTGTAAAATTGATCAAGGATGATGTTTTCAATGCACAATGGATAATACAGAGAGATGTAAGTTGATGAGACAGACTCGATATTCTACAAGATGTGAAGTTGACAACGGGGATACAACCATGAAGGCGATGACCACTCAAATTGAATTCACCAAGGTTACATTATCAGCTAAATACCCCATCGACCTACCATGGAGAGGCACATCAGTCAAAGGCCGCAGAACTTCATTATCGGTGTAACAGCTTTGAGTCACAACAACGAATGACAGCAACGAGAACAGGATACGAAGACAATCGAAGAGTGATACAAGAGAACTGACGTGAGACGGTAACGAAGCTTATACACTCACAGCTCGAAACACATGGGATCACATAGAACGTCGTGTGAAACGACGAATGCGATGCCCCAACAGTGGTTCAAAAGATCCAACGTGCGACTGTCACCGCAAACAAACACCTGACACCACAGCCTAACACCCGACGAGGTGCGCAACACGTGAAAACCCATCATCATTGTCAGAGCAACTGCTCAAGACCCCAACAAGGAGCTACGACAAGACAAACAGGTGGGAAGAGGACGAGAGAATTATGGGAGAGAACAAACGGTGCGACTTTGACAACAGACTAACACTCCACAGGCGCGCAACACATGAAACGACCGAGAATGCCTTGTCCGGGCAACAGCTCAGAGCTCCAACAAGGAGCTACGACAAGGCAAACAGGTGGGAAGAGGACGAGAGAGTCGTGGGAGAGAACAAACGTGCGACTGTCACAACAGACTAACACCCTACAAGGCGCGCAACGCGTGGAATGACCAAGAATGTCTCGTACGAGCAACAGCTCAGAGCTCCAACAAGGAGCTACGACAAGACAAACAGGTGGGAAGAGGACGAGAGAGTTGTGGGAGAGAACGAACGTGCGACTGTCACAACAGACTGAGGCCTTACAAGGCGCGCAACATGTAAAATAACCAAGAATGCCTTGTCCGAGCAACAGCTCAGAGCTCCAACAAGGAGCTACGACAAGGCAAACAGGTTGAGGGAAGAAGGAAAGAGAGAACGAAAATTGAAAGTCAACCATTTCAACCATCACGTGACCTTCCCACGCCACGCGCACATCGCTACCAAGTCACTTTTGTGCAACATTTGTCATAACATCGGACATGCCACAAGTTCTATATAACTTTGTATGAAGCTGTATTTCATTGTACAGAAACAATGTTGAGTCAATGAGTTAGTCAGGCGACTGACTCTGTCATTAACATCTCAAAACACGTGTTGCGTGCTGAGAAATCTTGCAAACCGATATGTTTTTATCATGCTAGAACATTACATCACATCATCATTCACTTTCTGACATGTATTTTGATATCATGCGTTCCTGATGACTTTAATGATGGGAGCGTGCTCAATATATAAATGACAAATCACAATTGTGAGAATGGATGCACGATGTAAACGACATGGATGTCTATATGACTGATAGAAAATGACACATACAGGTACAGAAGGTTAAGTGATCTCATATCGTTTGGCCTACTGTAACAAGCGTCAATGCGTGATCCCGATCTCCATTCGCTGAGAAATGCTGAGAGGCCAGTTGTACCAGACACGCCCAAGGTTTTCACCATCACACTGATATATCCATTTCGGAGCTGGTATGCTCCTGCGCTTCTCCCCGCACTTCAAGCACCTCGTCTTCATCAATGTCTGGAGCCACTTTCGCCCATAGAACTGCTTTCCATCAGCGTGGAACACCATGTTGTGAGCCCTGGTACCACAGCTACGATTCGAACATTGATAGATATCAAGGCCCCACGGCCTTGCGTCCTTGAAGTTCGAATAGGCTAATAACCGGGTGTTGACAACACGTTCCCTGGTATTTTGCTGATCATCGACCTTTTGATATTCTGCATACGACAGCATGACGGGAGTACTGTTCAGGGCACGCTTATCTTGGCCAAACGACGCTTCTAGCGCTGCCCATATGCCCATGTCGTACACGAACACATTTTCAACGAAGCGACTGAGTGCTGGGACGACAAGAGAATCCACAGTTGATACCCCTGCAAAGGAGAAAACGAAATCAAAGATATTCCTGGTGCGTTTGTCTTCAGCTACAACGTCAGACAAAGTCATTCAAGCGGTCACTGACATTTCTACCAACCGTTTCAAGCGGTCGACACTCTCTGTTATTCTCCCGGAAGAACCACACGATGAAATCACAATACCACGAATGAATGGTCCAGCGTCAGTGGTGTTGTTGATTTTACCAATATGTTGCGCGGCCACTCGAAGGTTATCGCCAAGATAGTTGTGTAGCAGCTATGTAGAAATCAGTAATAATGATCTGCATCAATTATTGTATGACGCCCAAACATTTACCTCATGCACTGGAACCGAACGTGAATCCGCTGCATTGCCAGACACCACGAGGTTTCCGGTGTCGGTATCAGAATGGGTGTCGATAAAAACCAGTAAGTTTCCTTCATATTT